GCTTGGCCGTGACCTGGTGATTGGGGAGAGCTGGGGTGATGCGCTGGACCCCCCCCACCCCACCAGACCACCCTCCCCACCACCACCATAAGCCTCTTAAGGGCTCGCAGGGGAGGTACCGGGGGCTCTCGGCCCCTTCCCCGGGCGGGAGGTGCGGGCAGCGTGCGTCCCCGAGCACGTGGGGGCCCGGCAGCGTCCCAGCAAGGGCACCGTCCCCATCCCCGTCACCGAGGTGACAGTGCCATTTCTTCCTCAGTTGCCTTTTCCTCCATCTTAAAAACCCATCGATTTGGCCCAGCACATCCCCCCACCCGGCTGGGCTGGGGGACTTGGGGGCTACTGGCCATCAGGACCCCCACAGACCTGCCCCCCCCTCCCCAGATCAGCTCCCCAAGGAGTCACCAAGCCCTTGAGCAGCACCCGCTAACGAAACCCAAGCTGGAAGCAGTAATTAAGACCGGGGCCCTGCTCTTTGCTGGAGAAGTATCTGGTTCTCCCAGCTTCATAGAAAACGCTCCCGGATCCCTGTAATCCTATTTGCTGGAGTGCAACTAATTGCAATTAGTGGCAGGGGCTGAAGTTCAATTAAAGTGTACCGAGATTATTCCTTTTTTTAATTGCTTTAGTGCTGGGATTAAGGGAAGCTTTGGAGTGATACCATCCTGTGGAGAGCAGTGCCACTGGGTGGGGGCTGCCCGGACCCCCCTCTTCTCCCAGGATGTGGCCTGCGATGCCCGGGCAGAGCTCGGGCTGTCCCCTGGGTGCTGGCATCTGCGGTGGCACCAGCAGGGACCAGGCTCAGAGGGCAGCCCTTGTGCCAGGATGGAATCCAGGAGCCCTCGCTTTTGGGGCTGGACCGTGCTTGGCACCGGGCACAGGCTGGGGGTCCCCTCCCTGCTCCCCGGGATGGAGAGCTGGGGGTCCTGTCACTCCCCTGGGATGGAGGGCTGGGTGTCCCCTCCCTGCCCCCCGGGATGGAGAGCTGGGGGTCCTGTCCCTCCCCCAGGATGGAGAATTGGGGATCCTGTCCCTCCCCTGGGATGGAGGGCTGGGGGTCCTGTCCCTGCCCTTGGGATTGAGGGGCACTGGGGTGATCTCTCAGAGAGTCAGGGTCCCCCAAGAGAACCACCCCAGCAGTTTGGGGAGAGAAGGCAGGATTCTGCCCCCCCAGGGTGATTTGCTGCACGTCCTGACACCGTCAGTCCCGGTGGTGCTAATCCAGACACCCCCTCCCCATCCAGCCCCCCCGTCCCAGCGGGGTGGAGCTGGGGGAAGGACATGAGATTACCCCTTGGAAAAGAAGGGACATAAATAATCCTATTACCCCAGAGCAGGATAAATCTGCCCTCCCCGAAAAGCCACCCAGAGCGTCTATAGGACGTGCGCCGGCGGGAGCGGGACGGAGGGTCTCCTGTGGAGCAGCGCTGGCCTCGGGGACTGCGGCGGCTGCGTAAGTCCTGGGGGGGCTCTGCCCTGTGTGTGGGGTGGGACATGGTCCTGGTGGCACCAGGGTTGGGCATTGCTTTGCTCCGGGCAGGAGCTGTTGCCTCCGGCTCCTGCAACCGGGAGCCGCATCTTTGGCATCTCCCAGGGCTTGGTCTCTCCTTCCCCGGGGTCTGTGCTCAGTCCCTGCAGGGATGAATCCCCTCCCACCAGCACCCGAGCCACCTCTTGGGCCACAAAACTCCTGTATCCCACTCTTGGCATGGCTGCCGTGCCCAGGGGAGGCACGGCCACAGCGGGATGGAGCCCACGTGCTGCCCTGCCACGTCCACCCCTGCTTCCCCCACCACCCTCACCCCAGCACAGGTCCTGTGGGTCCGCATCCCGGGGTTCCCCCATCCCCAAAACCCCTTCTGCCGCAAACAAGCCCCAAGGGACCCCCCACTCCCACTGATGCCAACCCACTGTGGCACCCACGGCTTGGCACAGACCCTGGGGAGAGCCATGATGGGGATTCTGGGGTGTCACATCCACGCTGGGGTGGGGGACAAGGGCTGGGGGAACGGTCCCAAGGGGAGGCAGGGGTTTTGTTGCCCCCGGGACGCCCTTCCTTGCCTCGGGGTAAGGGGATTAGCGGGCTCTGAGCTGGGCTAAGTCAAGGTTGCGGGGAGGGGGCTCTGCTGTGGGGCAGCCTGGAAAGCCGATCAGTGATGGCAAAGGGGTTCCAAGCAGGACAAGGTGGGAGCGGGGGGCACAGGGTGCTCGTGGGTGGTGGGAGAAGCCGGTGACCCCCCACCCTGTATCTCTCCTCCATCAGGTGTGAGGAGCTATCCCGTGCCAGCGCCGGACTCGCAGGGACAACCGTGACCCGGGGCAGGCTGCTGGCCCCGGCACAGCCATGAGCCTGGAGCCCCCCCCAAAGCCAGAGATCAAATCAGCCACCAGGGTGACCGGGGGACCCGCCACCCCCCGGAAGGGACCACCCAAATTCAAGCAGAGGCAGACGAGGCAGTTCAAAAGCAAGCCCCCCAAAAAGGGGGTGCAGGGGTGAGTGGGGCAGAGCCCTGGGACCCTCAGCAGGACCCCAGTGTTGGGGGGGGGACACAGTCATATGTGCCAGCCAAGGGTGGGAGGTGTTGGCTGGGGGCAGGGCAGACACTTTCTCTCTCCTTGCAGGTTCGGCGACGACATTCCAGGCATGGAGGGGCTGGGAACAGGTATGGGGGGGGTCTCATCCCTGCTTTGCCATGTGTGGGGGGAGTGGGGCTTGCTGTGGGCATGGCTGGGCTTGCGGGGGGGTTCACACTGATGAATCTTCCTTCTTCTCCCCAGACATCACTGTCATCTGTCCCTGGGAAGCCTTCAGCCACCTGGAGCTGCACGAGCTGGCTCAGTACGGCATCATCTAGGCATCATCGCGGCCCCCGCCGCCCCCTCGCACCCCTTTGCCCCGTAGTGCTGTGTAGGTAGAAGCCCCCCCCATCCCCACGGTGGGGCTCAGCCTGGAGAAATGCTCATTAAAACCCAGAAGGAGAGCAGGAGCCCTGGTGTCGTGGTCCAGGGGGGTGACAGGGATGCGGGTGGGTGGAAAGCATCGCCCCGAGCCATGGGGAGGGAGGGACAAGACATGGATGGGGTTCAAATCTTCTGCTGAGGTTTTATTTTGGCTCCCCCTGCCCCCAGCACACCCTCAGCCCCTGATGTCCCTGAGCACCTTCAGTGCCATGAGCACACCGGTGGCCTCCAGCAGCACCAGCACGGCGGCGCCGGCCGCGATACCCCCCGCCTGGCCCCGCAGCCAGGCACTCAGCTGTGCCAGGCAGCCCCCCAGGTGCACGACGGCGCTGGCTGCCACGTCCCCCAGGCGTAGGACCCCAAAGGCACACTGGACGTTGGTGACAGTGCCATTCTGCCCCGGGTCCAGGCAGCAGGAGGCAGGGACGCCGCACGCCTGCACTCCCGGGGCGCTGCAGTTGAAATACCTGCAAGGGGGGAGGATGGAGAAAAGGAGAGAGATGCTCATTCCTCACACCATCCCAGTGTGGGGACACAGCCCCCCATCCCCACCCCGTCCCCAGCACCCCGACTCACGGGTTGGCCTCCCAGTCGCGATAGGAGCCGAGGCCGCAGCATCCCAGGCTTCGTTGCACCTCGTCCACCAGGAACCGCAGGTCGGGCTCGTCCTGGTAGCGCAGGAGGCAGAGGAGCAGGGCATCCCGCAGGGCATCCCGCAGCCGGCCCCGTGCCACCAGCAGCAGCAGCCCCCCCAGCACCTCCAGCCCAGCAAAGGCCATTACAGCCCCCACGAAGAAGCGCAGGAGGCAGGGGCTGGAGCGGAGGGCACCCAGGCAACCAGCCAGGGAGGTGACGGTAGCCCCCAGCCCCACCAGCACGAAGAGCAGCATGGGGTCAGAGCCCAGGGGGGCCAAGCCGTCCTCCCGCAGCGAGCCCTTGGCTAGCAGCCCCCACACCCCCACGGCCAGGGCTAGCAGACCCAGCAGGAGGAAGAGGAGGTTCCAGAGGAAGGCCAGGTAGCGCACGCACTGGCTGAAGGTGCTGGGTTTGGGGGGGACGGGGCACCACATCCCGGGGTCCTGCTCGGCCGCGGGAAGGGCCGTGTCCCCATCATCATCATCGGAGGAGGAAGAGGTGGTGTAGGGCAGCTCCACCAGCCTGGATTCCTGCACAGAGAGACAAGCCACTCACCACCAGTGGGGCAGCCCCCCAGAAATGTCCCCCCCCCTTAGCCAATGTACCCCCACACACACATCCCAAGGCTGCTATGGGCTCCTGCACCCCCTTTGCAAGAGCCCCCCAGGCTGTAACCCCCAGGATCTACAGCAGGGAGACCCATCACGGAGACCCCCGGGGGTCAGGGCTGATGGGGAGCATGTGGGTTAACCCCAGAGACCCTGCCCCTAAGGAGGGGTGGGGGGTTCATCCCTAGGGACACCCCCAGGGATGCTGCAGGTTCCAGCACGGAGCTGGTACCCGGGGGACACGGGGCAAGGGGGTCCCCGGAGGGGGAGATCGGGGGTCCCGCAGGTCCCCGGCGTTACCTGGGGCAGCAGCCGGGTGGTCTCCCCGCCGTGGGGCCGGGAGAGCCGTGCCCTGCCCGGCGCCATCCCGCCCGCTGCTCGCCGGTCACACTCCCATCATGTGAGGGGCCGCGGCTTAAATAAGGCCCCGCCAGAACCCCCCCCCGCCCCCATTCCCCCGTTGGAGGGGCCGGTAACGAGGGCACGGCAGGCGGCGACCGGGGGGGGCTGAGCCCCGCGGAGGGGACACCCAGAGGGTCCCCGTGGGGGGGCGGTAGGGGTTGCGTGCAGAACTAAAGAACGGGCGCAGCGGCGGCGGAGGGACAGTTGTGGTGGTAGCACCGAGGCAGAATGGGGGACAACTTTGGAGTAGCACCGAGGCAGAGTGGGGGACAAAGGCGTGGTGGCACCCGCCCGGCCTAGGAACCTTCGGAGCGGCGGAACGCGGGCGCCGGGGCGCGGGGCCCGGGGG